CAGATGGTGGCGCTGTTGGGACTGGCCGCTCCAGAGGCCTGGGCTACCGACTCAACGATTTGAGCCCCGTCCATCTGCCGGAATACTACGAATCTGGCCAGCCCTACGGCCCGGACCGACATGCCTCCGTTTGGTCAGAGAAGCAGGGAAAACGGATGACTCAGCGTCTACGGATTACCGGAAATCCTCGGGTATCCCTTCGTCTTTGGGATCACAAAGTCGCTAACTTGAGTGATCTTTTGTCAGTGTTGTTTCTTGTCGCATGTTGTCAAATCGCCTATCGTCGGCCGTACCTCCTCAAAGTTGAGCACTGTAGGAGGCAAGAGAATTGAGCATTTTCACCCGGTTTCAAAGTGACCTTGTCTTTTATTCCAATACTGTAGATCCTCGTTGTTCAGTCTTGTGTTTATAATATCGTGTTTTACCCATTTGTTTGCATGCATCCCTGTTACACCTTCTTCCAATTTTGTTATAAAGCAGGCCAAGAAGGCAACCGAGGGGTCGGAGAGCAAGCAGTTTAATGAATCGTTTTTACGCACATTTGGCATACCTACACTATCCCAAGCCTTGACGACAGTCGTGCCTAGCGCCGGAAGAAGTAAGGGCTCAGAACAGATGAACGAGGACGATGGCAGCCGTGACAACAGCGTCTGGACAGGGTTTCAGAAAATTCCGACATTAATACAGAGTCGTCAGGGCGATAATGACCATGATGAGATTGTGGAAGGTGCAGGGGAATTAACACTTTTGGAGAAGATGAGACTGAGAATTGCTAAATTGAAGATGGAGGCCAAAGAAGAGATGAGCACAAATGCAGAAAGAGTGTAAATTTCTAGGAGAGAAACTGGATCCAAATCGGCCAAACTTGGTAGTTGCAGATCAGGAAAGAGAGGCCTAATAATGGAAAGTGTAAAGGGGAGTAGCAAAATCGGATTAAGCAGACTATGCATCACACATCGAACATAAATGATTAATTGAAGGAGAACTGCATCAAGTAATCTCTGCATATTTTGCTTGGTGATGGGTTATGTGTTCTTTGGTGTTGGCTTTATATTGCATTCATACTTTGAATATTGCTTGGTGCCCAGCTTAAATGACCATATGTTTCCTATTTACAGGTTGGAAAATCGCCCACAGAGAGCACCTTTGCAGAACGAGGATCCAGTAAAATTGTATCCGTGCCAGAAATATGTAAGAATGTCATTCAATGGCAAGGTGTTCAATGTATCTTTTTAAGAATTATGTTTTGTCAATGATTTAAGAATAGGCTAGCGAGGAAAGTGCTTCCAGAATCATTATTTGATGAAGTGGGTTGACCTGGTTGTTGCAACTTGGTC